GAGTAAGGTGATTGTATTGGAAACATAGGATAGACTAGGAAGTATTCTGGCTTGTCTTGTACTTCAAATAGATCATGTACTCCTATATATATGCCCACGAGGATCAAGCAATATAACGAAATATTCCACCAAACCCCTCTCTCCCTTCTAACAGATTTGATGGTATAGTTACAGAGAGTGAACGTGCCCGGCTATGAGAGGGGTGTGGCTTATATAAAATGCGATGCAGCCCCATGTCTTCCACGCCGTGGCATTAAATGTCATTGTACAAGAGATTGTAAAAGTTGCTTCGATATAACTTCCCCTAAAATTTAGGACCGTCCCGTATGTTGGAGAAAAAAAATTGGTGGAGTTGTTGGAGTTGCTCTAACTGGGTTTGGCAGGGAGGGAAGTGTGAGACACTATTTTGTAAACAAAAAAAAAAGGTAGGCTACACCTCCAGAAAATAAAGGAAAAATAAATGCTTGGATGTGTATCACTCACTGATACAGTGTACCAGTACTACAGTCACTATTCGTGTATTCATTTGCTCCAAGAAAGCAAAACCGAGACGAATCCAAATGCAACACGTACGGCTGTGTGATACACTATTCCGTCCCCTACTCAACCGATGCGACGGTGCGCGAAGCTCCGCGTGTCCCCGGCACCCGCAGACGTGTCCCGGCAACTGCAAAGCTAAAGAACATTGGCAGAGACCGTCACGGCCAGAAGCAACTAGACGCACGAGACAAGGGTCGGGGCAGACCAGACAAGAGATGGAGATGGCAACAGTAGCAGCACCGGCGGCCGGCCGCAGCGGAGGAGCGACGGCATCAGGGGAGTACTGGACCGAGGCGCTTAAGTCATTCCTCGACCACATCCCCGTCTCCTCTCTCTCCGGCGCGCTCCAGCCCTCTCCCTCCCCAGGTACACGCACCGAGCACGCATGCCACTCTCTTGCATCCTGATCCTGTGCCAGTCTGCTGGTGTCATGGCCGTCTTGGTCTGCAGCGTTGGAGCTCAACCTTGATGCATGCGTGCTGGACGCCATCGGTTCCATGCGCTGCGCCAATGCGGGTGGCGCCGTGATCGTCGACGAGGTCCGCCGTAGCCTTGGCAAGTTCGTCGACCGCGACATAGGATACGTTGATTTCCCCAGCCTCGTCTTATGGGCACTCGAGGTAATTTTGCTTTGGCTGTCTGTAGATTATTAGTCGCGTGGTTCTACTGAAAGCCAGGTCTGAGCATCTTCTTCGGCTGCATTGCTTCTTCCTAGGAACTTGACAGGGTGAGCACTGAACGACAAGACAAGAGTTCCGACTTCTTCTCAAGTCTGAAACTACATCCTCAGATTGCAGAAACCAAGGTACATTTTTCTCTGCTTTGCAAACGTATAGCCTACTGCTGGATGTTCATCGCTGCAGTGAAATGGATGCAATTCAATGAAATATATAATTGCTAATGGTTTCGGGTTCTTGCTCTGATGAACCGAACAGATCGCCTGGTTAGCTAAGCTGTTCCTGTTGGAGCCTCTTCCCCGTTCGGTCCCATGATACGCTCTTCCACGCAATGTTGCTCTTCTCCAAACACCACAGGCTCAATGTGATACCTGTTGTTGAGTCGGTCAACTCCAGTGTTGACGGATTTGTTACTCAGGTAGGAGTACTTATTTGGTACTCAATGCTTTTGAAGGCAGAATTGAATCATGCAACTAACTGTCGATGAACCACACGCAGAATGCAGTAATGGAGTTGCTTCTCCAGTCAAGTGGTCTTGAATGGCTCGATAAAATCGCAGACAAACAACTATCCGAATTTAGGTAAGCCCTGTGCTGAATATGAGTACCAATACGAATTGAATCGCTTGTTATCAGTAATGTACTTGCTTGTTGCCAGATTTGCCAATGCGAGCAAGCCTGTTCTTGTGTACTCGGATGAGACTGTGGCCTACACGTTTCGTGTTCTTTCCAAGGAGAAGACAGGAGTTGCAGTCATCGACCGAAAAAATCGGCGTTTGATTGGAATGATTCAGTGCAGCGATGTTTACCTGCTGTTGGACGATAGCTCCTTGTTCAGCAACAGAAAGCAAGTTTTTTTTCCTCATCCCACTCAATGTTTGACTGAAGATAACTTTTGGTAATAAATAAATTGCATGTTGTTCATTAGGATCATGAGTGCTGAAGAATTCGTCAAGCTGAAGAACAAGGATCAAAAATCCAGAACGGGGCATTCATCAGAATCTGAGGTCCAGAGCGTCCCCAGCCTCAGAAGCAGAGTGCAACAATCTGTTGTAACGAACCGGTGGTCCGACACCCTGAAGCAAGCAATGGAGAATCTAGCAGCCTCAGGAAGCAGCTGCAGCTTCATCGTGGACGAGCAGGGGCACGTGGAAGGAGTCGTGACGCCAAGAGATGTCATCTCCGTCTTCTCCCCGCCATGCATGGACTCGAGGATCGATGGGGGCACCTTCTTCTCGGCCGCGCTTGAGCAGGCCGGCTGCCGCGTTGAGAATGGACAGATGATTAGGAACACTTAGCTAGTCATGATTGGAGAGATTGCATTTCGTTAGGGCAGAGTGCAGATAACTAACTCGTTAGTTCATCTGTTTGCTCTTCACTAATAGGAGTATTTTTGCACTGTCAAAAGTTACTGTCACCCTGTTCTGTTTAGTTGGTACTTGTTCACGAAAGATAAATCAGCAGTTCATAATGACAGCGGACATAATGTAAGAGGAGAGAATTCGTGGGATATTTCTAAAAATATCATGCTACCAAACCCTTCTCAGCCCTCGCGTCGCTCCCTCCCTAGGGCGACACGAGCGGCGGCTCAGCCCCGTCCACCGCGCGCCCTCCTTCCACTCACTCCCCTCGCCGTCCCACGCGGATCCAGCCTCTTCTCCCCGTCGTTTCCTGGGCGCTCGCGAGGGGGAGCTCGCGGTGGCGGGCGGCGGATGGCGGCCGGCGCGCGGAGCTCCGCGTAGGCTGCGGGCGGAGGGAGGGGTGCTGGGGCGGCGGCTTCGGTCCGAGCTCCTGGCGCGGCCTGGGCATGGACGGCGTGCGCAGGCGGCGTGCGTGTGTGCGGCGACTTCGGATGCGCGCGTGGGGCGCGGACCGGCGGCGGGCGCGGCGGCGGCCGGCGCGCGGCGGGCGCAGCGACTGCTGGGCGTGGCGGGCTTGACGTCCCTGTAGCGCGAGGTGTGCTGCGTGTGGAGTGCCGGCTCCTGCTCAGATGCTTCGCTCGAGCGGTTCGATCTGGATCTGGCGCCTCAGTGCTCCGTTCTGGTTGCTGCTCCTTGCGATGCAGGTGGTTGCTGCGGTGGTGGTGGCCGCGACGGTGCTGCGGTGGTGGTTGGTGGTTACGGCCAGGGGGTGGTGCGTTTCTGGGCGCGGTGGATCGTGGGATCCCGCGGTCAGAGTGAGGTCGACCTCGGCTGGGATGGTGGAGCGTGGGCGGCGGTCGGTGGCGATTGATGGTGGCACAACTCTGGGAGAAATCCTTGTTCCGATCTTCATTGGAGCCGGCGACGGTGGCGCCCGCGAGTGTCGTTACCTTTCTTGAAAGCGTCGTCTTGGAGCTGTGCTCCTCCTCTCCACGGCATTGGCTCCGGAGGGAAACCTCAGATCAGCTGGATCGGGCAATGGGGGCGTCTTCGCGTCTTTCTCCTCCTTGGGGGCATCGTCTCGGAGCCGGCTACGACTGGAGAACGGTGGATGGTGGCATCTTCGCTGCGTGGCTTGCTGAGGCGGGGCGTTGGTTTCTGTTTTGGCAACGATGATGGCGTTGAGAGGAGCTCGGGTCGCAGCATGGACTTCGGTAGTCGGTTCTTCCCGACGTGTCTGAGGTGCCCTTCCGTTATGGAGGGCACCCTCGGCGCAAGTCCTGCATATTTCCCTTTCGAAGCTCGTCGTCAAAGTCGGAGCTGACGGTTGCTTGCGCGTGTGGCCATCTGTTGACATGTGCCGTCGTGGCTTCGGCGGCTGTTTGTAGCCCCGAGTTTCTTGTCGGTGGCCAGGTTGGCCAGTGGTGCCCATATCATATGGGTTGAGTTGTATCGGTTTTAGCCCGGTTTTCCGCCAATTAACGGGGCAATTCTTTTCTTCTTAATCAATGAAATGGCAAGTCTTTTGCCTCGTTTCAAAAAAAGAATTGGTGGGATCGCTTTTTGTATTGCTAAGCCCCGTGGACGAGTATATAATGTGTACATCTCTTGAAGAAGAGGGATATGGCTCATATAGTACCAAATATTCCCTCGGTTGGTTTCAAAATATAAGTCTTTTTAGAAATGTTTGAGCATTTATAACCGGACCTCTCAAACCCGCCTCATACGCCTGTACGGACCATCCGGTCACAATTTTTTGACCTGGACGGGCGTCTCAAACGGGCCTCAAACATCCAGGCTGACCGGCACCCCTCATATCCAGCCCAAATATGAGACGTATGGAGGTCGGCGGGCGTGCCCGGGCATGCCCGCCGGCCCCGCTGTAGGTCATAGCGGTCCCACCTGCAGCGACCGAAGCTCCTCCATCTCTCATCGGTGCAACCAAATTTAAGTCCCACATCGCCGGCCGAGGCGGACGCCGCTCGGCTTAAATAGCTATGCCAGCAGGTGGTGGCAAGCTTGGTTGTTGTTGTGTAGGTCTATCAATTCTGGCATGTGTGATCGAGATATATTTGACACTATATTGCATTTCATTGACTGATGATTGTTCATCAAGTGTCAAGTTTGTCTCGATAATATACGTTGATACCTCTACTATAATGACAATAGATTTTTATTGTGTTTTGATGCACGGACGTGATTCAGAAAAAGACAAGCCGACATCAATCTTCCTTATGTGAAGGATATAGATCCTGACTATGAATCTTCTATGTGATAAATATAGAAGATTCATAGTAAGAGTCCATATCCTTAACAAAGGATGCAATGATGTCAGAAGCTTATCCCTTCTGGACGATCCGGATATTTAAGTTGGTCGACTAGCTCATCAGTCGGTGAGGTGGGACAAATATGGGTGTGAAAATGTTAAGTATGAGCAATTTTCAATGCCCAGCAGGCCCAAGACGGACAGAATGATCGACGTGCATGGCCCTGCATGTAACATATGTTTTAAAAATAGGATATGTGGTTGTAAATTGTAAAATTTAAGGTACACCCGGTCACTGTCCGCAGGCGCGTCCGGACGCATCCACCGGCGTTTGAGGGTCCAAATTTACAACCTCCGGATGTAGATGCTCTTATAATAAGACTCCATACAGATGTATATAGACATGTTTTAGAGTGTAGATTCACTCATTTTACTCCTTATATAGTCTGCATTGGAATCTCTAGAAAGCCTTATATTTCGGAACGGAGGGAGTACATGTTGTTGGGAAACGTTGCATGGAAAACAAAAAGAATTCTACGCACACGCAATGATCTATCCATGGAGATGCATAGCAACGAGGGGGAGAGTGTGTCTACGTACCTCGTAGACCATAAGCGGAAGCTTTGACAACGCGGTTTATGTAGTCGAACTTCTTCTAGCTCTGATCGATCAATTACCGAATGTACGGTGCCTCCAAGTTCTGCACACGTTCAGCTCGGTGGCGTCCCTTGTATTCTTGATCCAGCAAGGTGTTGAGGTAGTAGATGAGTTCCGTCAGCACGACGGAGTGGTGACGGTGATGGTGAAGTGATCCTCGCAGGACTTCGCC